AGTACCTGCATAGGTGGGTGTATAAGAGTGGGCAGGAAACTGAATGAATGTTAAAACCTCCCACCTCATAGGTAAGTCACAGATGAGCAGCTTTGAATCTCAGATATTATAAGGTAGAGAAGGGATTCTCTTAAACAATTTTTAATCTTTTTCTACATTTAATCAATTGTGTGTGTGTGTGTGTGTGTGTGTGTGTGTGCACAGTCCTCAGGAGTTGCTTCTCTCCCCACACCACATGGGCCCCAGGGGCAGAGCTCAGGTTGTCAGTCATGGCAGCAACTCGACTAGCTGAGCCATTTTTCTGGCCTCATTTGAATTCCTATATTATCAAATTTGATACCTATGTGGTTATAATGGCACAGGTCTATAATCTTAGCCTCTTGGGGGGCAGAAGCAAGAGGATGGTTTTGAGTTGAAGGGTTTGAGGCAGGTCTGGGTAACACAGCTAGACTGCTGCAAAGCAAAAACAAAAAGACCAAGCCTGTGTGTCCTGCAATCCCATACAGCAGCCTATGCACGTGGCTCACCTCAGTATTTCTAGTTCTTTGCTGCTTTATGGTCTTCCTAGGCACAGGTCCTCTTACTGCACGATGCATGGTGTATATATTCTACCTTTCTTTAAGATGGTTTCTGAGAAAAAATTAAAACACTCTAAGCGCCTATATCTCAGAGAATCAGGTTCAAGGTAGCCCGGATTACTCAGACTTTATCTGACAAAAGCAAACAAAACATGCACTACAATTTTTCTAGGTCAACTTTCTTATAAGAGAGTAAGGATTTAAAAATCAAGCACTTGAATAGTTTCCAAAAATTCTTAATTACACTGAGCTTGATTTAGTTACTTATTTGTCTTTAATATACAGGACTAAGTGACACTGGGACTTCCAAATAGTGAGTACATAAAATACCATCTTCCACTTAGGTGACTTATCAAAAAGCAAACAAAATAGCCTTTAATCCCAGCACTCCGGAGGCAGAGGCAGGCGGATCTCTGTGAGTTTGAGGCCAGCCTGGTCTTCATTAGCAAATCCAGGTCAGCTGTGGCTACAGGGAGACCTTGTCTCAAAAAGACGCCCCCTCCCCCAAAAAAGCAAACAAAATAACCCTCTGACCTAATTTCAGCTTTTTTTTCCTTCTAAAAAACATGGTACGGTGTAAGGAAAAGACTGGAGGAGACCATAAATATAATCTGGGACCAGATACACAAATCAACATGGAAAAGACAAAAGGCATCATTTTCAAACAAGTGACATCTCAAAATTACCATACACAAAGTGCTTTACAATGATTGCTTAACAGTCGTTCATAAATGTAAGCAAACGTAACACGCTCAGTGGAGCACTTTGAAGCAACCAAACACCCAAGGAAATATCTTCAGTTACCATTTTTTTGGATGAGTATGTAGATTTAAGAAAAAAATGTAAGGAGATCTGTCATAATACTACATACAATAAGTCATGCACAGAGAGATCTTAATAACTGGTATTAAGATGTTATCAGGACTGAAAAAAGAAAGGGCTTATATTAAAGAATATGAAAAACAAATGAGGCCTAAGTGCCCAAAAGGTAGAGCTGCCTATATGAAAAATAATTCTTTAATGCGTGGAGAGCAACTAAAAGTATAAATATCAAGCACATGTCCAGAATCTGGTACTTAGCTATTAAGATACATCAAAAGAATAAAAATATGCTGCATGATTTTTTCCCTCTGCAATTTCTCCCAAAATAACATCACATAATTCACTTCGAGCAAACCAGACAGCAGGAAATAATGAAATTTCACATATTTATGTTTTAAAATTGACCTCTAAATCTTAGGATAAGTTTAATTTCTAATAAAGCTGAAAACTAATTTTTCCCTCTAATTCTGCTGGGTGCCATAAGATCGGATCAGCACCTTTGCATCTGTATTTGTCTTTGCAAAAAGTGCACTTGACAACCATTTTCTATAGTAAATATGTAAGTTATCTGAAGTGCATTTGGAAAACAATTGAAAACAGATTAATACATCGTAAAAAGATTAATTCCCTTTAAACAAAGACATTCTTATAAAGTATGATAATACAGTAGGCACAATAAAGAACATAAATTGTGTATCAATTATTGGCATAAAATCTAATTCTTTACAAAGCCCATACCATTGGGGAAGAGGACATTTTCATACAAAGAAAAGTATTACACTATTATACAACACCTTTAATTGTACATTTACAAATTTTTGGCACATTAAAAGGAACGGAAGAGACTATAAAATAAAGGACAAACGAACTAAAAGATACAGGAGAAAAAAACCCTCACGTGAGAAACACTAAACACTGACACAGGAGAAACTAAGCAAGCCGCTGAGTTCCTGAAATGCTGTCGTGGATAACAGAAGTAGCTGTTTAAAAATTTCTAAAGGTTAGACTTCACCTTGCTGTGGCCGGCTGAACATGGCCAGGGTAAGATCTTCTTGTGCTGGTTGCTTGTCTTTGCCTAGCTAGAAAAGACTGCCCTGAACCTGTGCTAGCTAGTCTATCTTCAGCCGCCTTTTTATGCAGAGTCATTCCCTGTAACATGAAAAGACAAACAAAAGTACTCAATGAAGATACAGACTATATTCTCACAAAAATAAGTTTCACCATGCAGGATTTACTACACAGCACGGCACAATTATTAAGAACATTAACTGTAGTCATTACACATAGAGCAAAATTTTATGGACTCCTTTTCATTCCATTAAGCATTCCAAAAATTAAGACTTTTAAATGAATTTATAATAATCAAAAGAATAGATAATGGAGACAGGTTTTTATTTTACATTACCCACAATTCCCTTTCAAATCAAAGGTACAGTGATTTTCCAAGAAAAGAAAAGTGCAACTGATTGGCAGCAGTGGATTCACATGGGATGCGAAGACCATCGGGCTTATTAGAAGGAAACAAATGCGCGGGTTCTGCAGATGGAGTGCATGCTGGGTACTGTACCTACCGCAACGCTGCTTTGCTTCACCTCCAGGAAGACTTGTATTCTCAAGCAAGTTAAGAAAATTTCCTGACAATTCACAACAGAGGGCACAACCTAGAACAAGGGGTTGCCCTCGAGAGCAGAAAGGTCACCCGCTACCTTTGGAGAGAGGGGTAAAAGTCACTGGGCTACACCAGAGAGGAAATCTCCAGTGCACTCTCAGGGTGGAACAACGGTGACAGTGACAGCACTGCTCTACTAAGGAGACGACTGCGAGCAGACTGCAAACGGGCCCAGTAATTAGACACAGGTAAACTTCTGAAAAAAACGGAGGCTTACAGCAAAGGAGCAAGAGCGCACAGACGACAGGACTAACTAGCTTCTAGGAAAACCACTGGCCACAGCTTTGCATTCTGAATGTAACTTTCACCTTTCACACGGATCCAAGGAAACATTTTTCCAATGAGAAAATTCAGAGTATGTTTCTTTTTTGTGTTTGCTTGTTTTGTTTTCTTTGAGGCTGTCTTGCTATGTATATGTAGTCCTGCTGGCCTGGAACTGTGCTATCCCAGTGGGCTTTGAACTCAGGTTGGAGTCTTGTGCCGACAAGCCTGACTTAAAAAACAGTGTACGTGTACACACACACACACACACAACCACATATGTATGCATGCATGATGTGTACACACACTCTATCATGTATGTACGCATGATGTGTACGGATGAGGACAGAGGACAACTTTGTCCTTTCTACCTTTTTGGTTCCTGGGATTGAATTCAGGTCACTAGTCTTGTACAGCAAACACCTTTACCTGCTGAGCCCTCCTGCCAGCCCCCCAAATTTTTTTAAACTCATCTTAAAATCAATGTATTTGAGGATTTAAATAAAACTGACAAATATCTAATAAAAACCTTTGACTACATATAAATAAAATTACATTTTATTAAAAGCATTCTAATTTTTCAAGCAATTGAGTGACTAGTTATAGAACTTGGGCCCCTGTGCTCTGTGTTCTAGCACTCTACACTGAGCTACACTCCCAGCCCCTCACATACTTGTAAGTTTTTTGTTTTTGTTTTTTCAGACAGGGTGTCCCTGCAGCCCCAGCTGGCCTGGAACTTGCTATGTGGACCAGACTGGCTTCCATTTCATAGATCTGCAAGCCCCTGCCTTCCTAGGGGTGGGATTCAAGGTGTGCGTCACCACACCCAGCTCTGTCATACACTTTTAAGACCTCAGTGGCCATCACATAATTTATTAAGATACATAATAATATGTCCCAGCACTCACCATTTTCACTTCTGTTCAAGTTGTCTGAGATGAAGAAGTTTCTGAATGT